GCGCGAGCCCCTGCCGGCACCTGGGCGGCACCACCTTGTCCGCTGCCACCTGGGGCAGACCCGGCCGCTTCGTGGGCGGCCTCGCGCTCGAGGCATTGTTGGTCGATGTGTTCGTGGAAAGCCTTGCTAGACCAACCGCCCGACCAGAGGATCTGGCCTGTGGCGCCCCCATGCCGCCTGACCAGCTCAGCGCACCCCCGACGGAAAGACCGCTTGTCATAGAAGCAGCGGTCACGGGCGCCCAATGCTGGCAGTTCCCGGCGCAGCGTGCGCATGCCCACGTCTGGCCTTGTACCCGCGAACAGGCCTGCCCCAATCTCGGCGGCTTCGAACTTGGGCCATATCGCGTGGAGCGCGCACGTCCCAGGGAACCTGTCACACTCGACGTTCCGCTTGGATGCCGAGGCGTGCTCTTTATACTTGCGCCGAAGGAAGAATAACACAACAGAGTCACCGTCTTTGCGCAACGCGATCCTGGTCGGTTCCCGCGCCGGGTCCCTGACCAAGCTCAGCCCCTCGGACGGGGGCCGCAGTCCGAAAGTGAAGCGGGCGGTCCAGAGTCTCAGCAAGTCCAGCAGCGCCCCGCGCTCGTCCTCTTCGAGTGGGTTTGGAAACTCAAGGTCGACCAAGAACTCAAGGTCGACCACCCCGCGGACCGAGTCAATGACATGCGTCGCAGACCTTCCCACAACCTGAATAACTTGTGCGGGGGGTGATCGGGGCACGCCGCCCTGGCCCGCGGAAGCAGGCCAGACAGGCCCGCTTCCTGGCGAACGCGCAGAGGCGCGGCCGCGCGCGCTCCCCTCCGTGTCCGGGGCGCGCTGGACCGCCACGGGGGCGCGGTCCTGCATCGCCGTTAGCGAAGACGAGCGTGAAAGAGTGCCTCGAGAAACGCGGGTGGCGCGTGCGCGGACAAACCTTCGCGGAGCCCATGAGCGGCGGAGAGGCCCGCGCCGCGCCCCGTTGCCCCCGCGCCGCGCAGCGAAGATGGTGCGCCCGACGGGGGCGGCGCACGCGCGCAAGAAGAGTGCGTGCAAGGGCGGCCAGAGGTCATGGCCTCCGAGAGGTGGCCTCCCACGGAAGCGACCACTTCCATGTCCATGCCGCCGTTGTGAAACCGTCGGTCGCCATCGCCCGCGGCCTCTCGCGGGCCTCCGCTGGCCGCGTTGGCGCGTCGGCCACGTTTTGTTTTGACGGAGCGCGCCAGAAGCTGGCCGCGCAATCGTGGGCGGCTGCTGCCAGCCAAATACCTGTCGCCTGATCGCGCGACGCGGCGCCGCGCGACCGCGCGCGCGCCGCGAGTGGACGGCGCGCCAGCTCGTGATAATCAGTTTCGCGCGACGAGCCCCGGCGCAAGATTCCAAGCGCGGTAGTGCTGTCAACGACAACGACAGCCGCCCGGGCAGGAGCGGAACGTGGTACAGCCCCGCGAGCGCCGCAATCAGCTCGAACGTTGCCGCCTGCGTCTTCCGAGAATTCAACCATCGCTTGGCCCCGCTCGGAGCCATGGACTCCTTCCCGGCCGGGGACGCCGTCGCCCACGCAAGGCCCCCCCGGCCCGTCGCATCCGCGTGCAGCAGGGCCCGCGGGCGGTCGCGCCACGCGCGCGGGCACGTGCGCGAGGGCCTAGCCGCCAAGAAGCGCAGCCACCAAGCCAGCGATCGGCGTAGGCGCTCAGGTACTCTGTGCGACCGCTGGTTAGCATGGAAGAACAGAGGTGCTCGCTGACCGTCCGAAGAATTGGCTCGCGCCCCAACTCAATCGCCTGGCCAATTATTGGGCCTCCGTTGGGGACAGGCATCCCCGCCGCAAGATGCCTTCGATCTGGGTCACCCACTTGCCCGCGCTCGCCTCGGGAACCGACAAGTGCAGAGACTGAGTCTCGTCGCGGCAGTGGACGCGCACACCGAGGACCTTGGTCTCTTCTGCGCCAGCGCACATTTTGTCGTGGTCCAAGGCCAACCCCGACAAATCCTCGATTACCTGGCGGTTGACATCGGCCTCACCGGCGGGCCCCACGTACTGACCGGCCCACAGTGGGCACTCGCGGCTAACGGAGAAGGTATTGTCCACGTACCTGAGCCTGCCCACGTAAAATAAAACCGCCAGACGCCTTCGCGCCGAGAGGGCACGCGAACAATTGCAAGCACTTGAAGGTGCCGGCCCCGTCGTCCCGCACCGCATTCGCGTACTTCAGCGCATCGGAATGAAGCGGCAGCGTCTTGTATGCGCCAACGAAATCCGATTTGTTTAGCCACAGCAGCACCCTGGCGCTGTCCGCTGCGGCTAGCCGCGCCATTGCTACCACCGCGTCCAGGGTGTCTGCCGTCATGGCCACGAGCGGCGCGGAAGTACTGTTGACCCAGCTGGCCGTAAAGTCGTCAATCGCGCGAACCTTGCGCTTCGATGACCCGTGGATCAAGAGTTTGAAGCCGTCATCAACGGCGAATCGTGGAGTGATGACGCCGCCGCGCATGGCCGCACTGATATCAGCCCAAGCGGCGCGGCCTCCGACGCACGATGGTGGGGTGCGCAAGGAAAGGCCGCCGCGCGGATGCCTCGTCGCCTGCGCTGACTTCCTCTTCGGCCTTCTGTTCGACGGCTCCCCGATCTACTGGGTCCAATTCCGCCGGCGGGCGCGCGCGGGGGAGCACGTCAGAATTGCTCTGATGCGCCCACTCCTGCAGCTCGGCCTCGCTGCATACCGCGGGGCGCCACACTGGGGGCGCGATGCCCGCGGGGAGTGTCGGCCCCATCAAATGGAATCCCCGCGTCGGATCCGTCGCCGGGCTCTCATCCGAGCAGCCCGCCGCTTCCATCATCTCCTTTGCAGCAGCGGTGTGCCGCGTCATGGGCGCGCGCGCGCGCGAGCGAGCGAGCGAGCGAGCGAGCGAGCGAGCGAGAGAGAGAGAGAGAGAGAGAGAGAGAGAGAGAGAGAGAGAGAGAGAGAGAGAGAGAGAGAGAGAGAGAGAGAGAAGAGAGAGAGAGAGAGAGAGAGAGAGAGAGAGAGAGAAAGAGAGAGAGAGAGAGAGAGAGAGAGAAAAAGAGAGAGAGAGAGAGAGAGAGAGAGAGAGAGAGAGAGAAAGAGCGCCGTGCCCGCAGCAGGAAGACGTTCTTGCGATCTCCCAGGACCGACTGGACGTGCCGTGGCAGCGTGGCGAGGTGGGTTCTCCAACCCTCGTCCAGGGCTTTTAATCGATGGCCCCAGAAAAGAAGCGCATCTCGGCGGGCACGTTGCAGCTCAGACCACGACGCGGCGCCCGCCCAGCGCATGGCGAATTTCACTTCGCCCGGGCAGGTCGCTGGCGCCGCGGACCGCGGGAGCGACTGCGCCCGCCTCAAGTGGTCAAGCGGGGGCATGGCCTCCACCCAGGACTGGTCTGATAGTAGCGCGTCGACCTTTTCGCGAATAACAGAAATGTCGTCTTCACGTGGCCCCTTGAGGACATCCATGAATTCGTAATCCTCGTCGCCATCGTCCTGGGCGCGGTGCGCGACGCGCGCGCGAAGGGGGCGCGACAGCGTGCGCCGAACAGGCGCCCCCGCGGGAATTATGACGGCGCCGCGCTCACCGTTGCTTGAGCACGGGTACTCGTGTTCGGCTTCGCAACCGCCCGCGTGCCGATCCATCGCGGATCCCGGGGCCGCGTGGGCGTGCTGCCCGCGCCTCGAATTTTCGAAATTGCATCCTGGCGCGGAAAAGACAAATCCCGCCGCCCGGCCCTGCGCGCCGAAGGCGACTCGCCCGCGAGCGTGTGCGCGGCGTCTGCGAGTAGCCGATGCCACCGGCAGACGTCTCACACTCGCAAGCTTATTTTCTATGCAGCGCGTCGGGGCTTGCCGCAGCCTGCGCGCAGGCGCTCGCGCCCCAGCGCCGCGCGCCAATGCGGGGCGAAAGTGGCGCGCCCTTGTCACTCGTTTGAAAACCGCTGGGGCAGGGCGCTGCTCCCGGCCCACGGGGCACGGCTCCGTGGGCGGTTCATCGTTGGCGTCGTTGGTTTGCGAGGATCGCCATATTCCTGGCGCCGTGCGCGCGCGGCGCGGGCCAGAGGATGTGTCCCGATGGGGCGCCTTCCCCTGCTTTCCCAAAATCGTTCTGGCCCTTGCGGCCGCCGCTTCCCTTCGCGGGGGCGCTCTTTGCGGGGCCGTGCGGCGCCTGACGTGTCGCGGCGAATCGGCGGCGCTCCACTTCGCGCGGCGCGGCGGGCCTTCCCGCTGCCCTTGCCGTGCCCGTGCCCCCATCGACAGCTCCACTTCGGCCTGCTTGGGCAGGGGCGGGTTCGCGACCCGAGACTCTCTGTCGATGTCAAGCGTCGCGTCACCTGGGCGCCGGCGGTCGCGCTCCCGCTTGCGGCGCGGTGCGGGCAGAACAGCGGAGGAAACGGGGGCGCGCCCGACGCGGCTCGCTCGTGCCAGCTCTCGCGGGTGACGAGATCGTAGCAGATGCCGAGCTGCGCGCCGTTTTCCTGGGCGCCCATCATTGCCTGCAGGGGCGCGCAAGCGGGGCGGGCCAAACGCCGCCGCGGGACGCGGAAGAAGGCCAGTGCCGCCTGCATGCATATGTCGCGGTGCGCGAAGGCGGCGGCGCTGGACAACTGGCCGCCGGCGACGGCCGCCGTCGAATACCTCGCATTTCGCGCGCGCCCGCGTGCGCCAAGGGAGGCCGAGAACGGGGCACCGCGCCTTCCCCGCGCGACCTGCCACTGGAGCATGGACAATTCAGTGTCCCTTCCTTTTTCCGCGTGAGCTCCCAATGCTCGCGCGAGCTGGGAGACTTCGTTGGACGCCGGCCCCGTCTCCTCTGTGGCCTGGTGGTCGCGCGTCCGCCCCGACTCAGCCCGCGACGGGAGGAAGCGCCGCAGGTCGGCGTGGACGAAACTCGCCATGCCCCTGTCAACAACACGCGCGCCTCTTGCGTGTAAGTCGTCCGCCGCGGCAGCCCTCGCGAGCTCGGCTCGCGCGGCGCTTGGCAGCAAGGAGGAATGGGGGCTCGCCGTGGCCAGGACTGGGCGTCCTGGCCGCGCAGCCCCATGTCGGGGAATTTGTCCGAGATGGACACCCGCGTCGTCGCCGATCCACTCGCGCGCGCAGTATTCTCGCGCTCCGTCGCGGCCCGCGCGGCCTCGGCGACCGCCCGCCTGTGCCGCGCGCAGCGCGAGCCCGCGCGGGCGAACCCTCCAGCGTCTTGAGCCGCGCCTGACGAATCCGCGCTTGAGCCGTGGATTCTCGAGATCCCTAGACAGGAGATCGCCGACGTCTAACCGGGCCAGGTCCTGCGCGGCAGTGGTCCCATGGCCGCCGAGCCAATCGGCCACGCTCGTAACGAACGTGGCATCGCGAGCCGTGCAGTCCACGTCGCCCAGGAAAGATTGCAGAGGCACCGTCATGATCGCTCTCGGGGCGAAGGCAGTTGCCGAACCCTACGGAAAAACACGGGGCGATCCTCCTCGCTCCCATGGTGCCACCTGTGCCGCGCGCACGCCATCCGGTCACGTGCTGGCCACCAGACACCCGCTGGGGGGGATGGAAAAAGGGCCGCCCAACCCTTGGCGCAAACCGCGCCGCGCGCGCGCCGCCGGGCCACGCAACAATGACTTGGCCCGAACAATACAACCAGGGCGAACCTCGCCCACCTGGTGCCACCTGCACCGCGCGCGTGCCACCCGGTCACGCGCAGACCGCTGGTGAGACAGAAAAGGCCCCCCAACCCATGGTGCAAACCACGCCTGAAGCGTGCCTCCTGGCCAAGTAGCGACGCCCGGGCCCGCGAGGGGGCGGGCGGGCGCGGAAGGGGCGCCGTCGGTAGGGGCCAAGACCGCGGCCAGGCCGCAGGACAGGACGGACAGGCAGGCGGACGACGGGCGACCGACGAACGGAGGGAGGGAGGGAGGAACGCAGGCCGCGGGCCAGGGCGCGGGCCAGGGCCGAGCCAAGCAACCGAGCCAAACGGGCCAGCACGCAGGCCGAGGCAAAGGAAAAAAGCGGAAAGAAAGGGCGGGCGAAGCGGGCCAGGGGACAGGGCAGGGCCAAGGCGGGCCAAAACAGGCGGCGGGGGCGGAGAGGGGCCCAGGCGAACAGCACAAGCGGGGCCACAGGCCAACCCCAGAAGGGGGAGACGGACAGGCGGGCCGACGGCGAGGACAGCGGGAAACGAGCGGTGGAAGGGAACGGCGGAAGCGAAGCGGCGGCAGTCACCCACCGCCAGGGTTCATTTTCTGGGTGGTGGCGGTCGCTGAGAACTCCCCCCCGTGCGAAGCCTCTTGGCGGGGGGACTTGAGCCGCTCTCCCGAGCGGCGCAGCCGTGACGCGTGGCGCCGCGCTGTGCCGCGCTGGCGCCCGCGCAACAACGTCGCTCCCCGTTTGTGTCCCGCAACAACGCAAGCGCCGTGTCGTCGACGCAAACTCAGTTCTCCCAAGTGTCTTGATAGTACTACAGCACCTACAAATATGATTTTTTGCTAGCGAGCGCGAACCAAACTACTACAGCTGCGGAGATCTTCATTATTGGAACGACTTGTCAAGTCTCTCCTGGTCATCTGAAGATCTGCAATTTCTTTCAAATCTGTCCTCCTAAAGGTCGGTTCCCGGAAGTGAAGAAGCTATCCGAGAACGGAGCTTCGGAGAACCTTCGGGGGAGCTTCGGGGCGCCCGCATTGGCGGCGAGTTGGAAAACGCTGGCTGGAGCACGCTGCAACTTCGAGCAACTTCGAGCAAGCTCTAGGGGAAAGCTTCGAAGATGCTTCGACAGAGCTTCGACGGAGCTTCTGAGGAGACTGGGGGCGCGCGTAGTGGGGGCGAGTGGGAAGACGCCCCTCGGGACACGCTGCGGGGTCAAGCAACTTGCTGCGGGGGTGCCTAACCGAGGAGCCTTGGAGAGGCGCTGGCGCAGCCCTGTCGGCCGGCTGCTTCTCCAACGACCCTGTAAGCTCTCAGAAGCAGCTGCCCGGGAAAAACCCGGATGGCAGAGCGCCCGATGGCGTGGGAAGACCTGGCGAAGCCCTCCGTTAGGACCTGGAGAGAGCTTCCGAAAGACCATCTGGAGAGCTTCCGGGAACGCGTGTTGGGAAACGCTTGGAACATAAACATTTGGGACACGCTGCGCATTCAAGCGGGCCGCGACGAATTAAGCTTCTCGACCGTTGCCGAAACGCTCTCGGGGGCTACCCTGCCCTGCGGCTCCGGCTTCTAATGTAACAGCCCTCTCTTAGCTTCAAAGAGCTATCCGGGGACTCTGGAAAGACCTGGAGAGAGCTTCCGAAAGTCCCCCTGGAGAGTTTCCGGGCTGGCATTCCCGCCGGGGACCTCGTAGAGCTCGTGGCCATTTGTCAAAATCTACGCGTATCTCTGGACGGTACATCTACTTTCAATAATGATGCAACCCACATCTATGCATTTTCTCAGCGCGCGAAAGCGATGCTGCCGTGGAAGCGCGCGTGCATGTAGGCATGCGCAGGTGGAAAAGCAGGAAGGACACCAATATAACTCAAGAACATATATGTTTTTGGTGTCGATGTAAGGTCGGTTCCGCAAGGTCTTTCGATGGTGCGATTACCCTTGCACTCCGGAAAATTTACCAGCAAATGCGCCATGGCTTACTCTAGGTAGGAACAATAAAACTTCTGAAAACGAATTGTCACATGTCCCACGAAGTTCCGAAAACCGACCACAATTTGCCGCGTTGTCTCAATAGGTCGGATTGACCGACTAGCTGCGCCCTGCGCTCGTATTCCTCTAAGCTCGCCTTTGCTGACGAACTCTACGAGGTATCTCGAGCGATCTCGGGGGCTACCCTGCGGCCCGCTTCTATTCTAACAACCCTCACTTAGCTCTGAGGAACTATCCGGGAACCTCCAAGCCGCTTCAGCCCGAGCACCCGGGGTCTAACGCCCGGGCCGCCTGGTTCTGCCCGAGGTCCTCGCCCCTGGGCCTGGTCGAACGCACGAAGAAGGGCTTGTCTGTCGCGTAGGAAGGCTCCTGGTACCCTGGAAAGGATGCCTTGAAAGCTTGCAAGCCCCCGATGGAGGGCTTGAGAAGCTGCCGAAAAGCCGCCAGGAAGTTGCGGAAGAGCTGCGGAGGCGCTTCAATGAGAAAGCTTCAGGCACGCGCAATGGGAACGAATAGGGGAACGCCTGCGGGCGCACGCTGCAACTTCGAGCAAGTCGCTGCAAAGGTGCCTGCCGGGGAGCTGCGGAAAAGGGCTGGCGTGGCCCTGCCAGCCGGCTACTTCTCTAACAACCCTTGTAGCCCTCTTCAGGAGCTATCCGGGAATTGAGATGGCGAACAAGAAGCATATCGATGTTGCCTGGTAAAAATACTCCATCCATAACGACTTGTCCAACATCTCCCAACATATTGTCAACTAACAACATGTTACCAATTTGTGGATCGAATTTTTCTGGGCCAGCAAACCAAGAAATGACCCCGTATTACTCTTAGCTTCCGCTGCTCCGCCACCGGAGAAGCTCTGCGAGTCAAGCTTGAATGCGTGCCCGAGACGCATGGCAACGACGCCTTACGGACCTGCCTGGACTCTCGTGCGACGCTTGGAAACGTTACCTAGGACGCTGCTGGGAGGTTCAGCGTGCTCGCGAAGTCGCTGCGACGCGCCCTGCCCCTCCAGCGTTGAGCTGTGGGCCTAGCAGCCACTGGCCGGCTCTTCTTCCAAACTGGGCAGCAGCGGGAAGCCGTCGACCTGGTTGCCGCTGGGGACCTCATAGAGTTCCGCAACAACGGCCGCATCCCCAATCGCAGCCGCAGCCGCGCAGCCGCAGCCGCGCAGTTAACGCGAGTAGTTTTGCGAACATAGCTCGAAAAACAAACAGATCTCAGGCTTTCGGAGCATATGGACGACAACTTCTGATGCTGCTGAACCTATTCGTTGACATCAAACCTCTGTTGCTGCTCTGAATGTCTAGATCAAGTTGTACAACAAAATAATTGCCCCGCAGAGATGCGGGGGGCGAGTGCTGTTTCGGCCATGGTTCGAGAAGTCAACCGATCTCAGGCTGTTGGACAATGTAAGCGTGAGCTTTTGATGCTGCTGAATCTATTCGTCTACATTTCAGCTCTGTAGATGCTCAAAATGTCGAGGTCAAGTCGGGAAAGCGCACATTTGCCCCAAAGAGTTGCCGAGTGCGGTCCGTTGTTCGGCCATAGCTCGAGACGAGGCCTCTCGAGCCTCTGAACTGTTGATTGCGATGCTGCGTACATTATTGGCGCACATGAAACGAAAACTGCGCCGAATCTCGAGATCCAGTCGCAAAACTGAGCATGTGTCAGAGCAGTTGCAGTCTGAATAGTCTTGTGAAAGAACAAGAAATCGAAAAGCCAATCGATCTCAGGCTTTCAGACCATGTGCACGTAATCTTCTGATACTGCTGGTCCTCTTCGTCTACATCTTAACTTTGTGGATGCTTTAAATGTCAAGATGAAAACAACAAACAAAACATTCGTCCCAACATTGCAAAGTGCAAACCGTTTTCCGGCCGTAGCTCGAATACCAGACCGATCTCAGGCGTCCCGACGCTCTGGACTGATGCTTCCGATGCTACTGAAGCTATTTGTACACATGAGACCTCTGTTGCTGGTCCAAATCTCGAGATCAATCCGCAAAAACCGAACACTTGCCCCAACCAGTTGTGCTGTGGGAGTAGTTCAGCGAACATAGCTCGAGGGGAAAGCCGATCTGAGGCTGTTGGACCATGCGAAAAGAAGCCTTTGAAACTCCTGGACCTGCTCCTCTACATGCAACCTCTGTAGCCGCTCTGAATGTCGCAAAGTGCGATCGTTGTTCTGCCATAGCTCGAGTAGCATACCGATTTCAGGCGCCCCGATCCTTTGCGCTAGAGCTTCCGATTCTGCTAGAGCGCTCGATGCGCGTGAAACCTCTGTAGCTGGCTATATCTCCAATTAAATTAAAAACCATATTTTTAACAAAATAAAATGTTCAGGTCGGTTTCTGGAATTTAACCGAGAGGAATCTTGCAGCCACAGGCCTGCAACTTTTTCCATCGAGCGCAGCGCTATCCAACGCCCAGAATGAAAATCTGGGAGTCAAAGCGAGTTGTGAACTTTGGATGAACAACTTGAAAAAAAAACAAACCAAAACCGTTACACTTTGGATTCTTACTGGATCGGCCAATTGAGCGCCGGCAGTAATCCGTCAACCTGGTTGCCGCCGGGAACTTCGTAGAGCTCCGCAGCCGCAGCCACGCAGCACTCGAAGAACGCGCGCATTTTTTCGTCATTGCTCGAAAAATAAGCAGATCTCAGGCTTTCGGAGAATGTGAACGAGAACTTCTGAGACGGCTGAACCTGTTTGTTCGCATCAAACCTCTGTAGCTGCTCTGAATGTTGCCCCAAAGAGTTGCAGGGGACGAATCATACT